TTATATATATATATATATATATATATATATATATATATATATATATATATTTATTTATTTATTTATATTAAATTATATTTTTATTCATAAAAGAAGAAAAGTACATGAGGTGGGGGTGGCCGTCCCCAACAAATGGCCAAAATAAACCACAGATTACAAGCCAAAAGAAACAGTACTAAAAGCAAAAGGACAAGGATATGGCTATTACTACAACCCATAATTGACTTCTCCCTTTGAAACTTTCTATCTAGAAGACACCTCCTATAAGCCAATAACCCACAGCCAAGCTACCTGTTCATCCATAATATACTCCTCCCAGTCTTCTTCCTCTTCGGAAATGATCACTATTCAGCCCAAAGAGTCTGCCTTCCCATAATCTAGAGAGTCCACAACCAAGCATAGTTGCCAAAGATAGAAACCACAAAACCAACACCAAATGTCCCTAACGTTTGGGATTGAAACCATATGACCCCATATATAACACCGAACTGCAGCAAAGAGACTACTTCCTAAACCACTTTTAATTAATAGAAAACCCGAACCCAAAGCCCAAGACAATCAGACAAAAAAAACCCTGGATTTAAGTGTCTATTCAAACGAAAAACATAATCCGAATAGCGTAAAAGAAGTGGAAACCCAGGCAAAGTGATTATAACCTAAGTTAAACAACAAACCTATCCCCAAATGGGTCACCATATAAGACTCAACTCTTAGTAGTTAATTCAAATCTCCTGTGGTTCGCCTGATAAGAATTCTGCCACTGACTCCTTATCTGCATTGGAGTATGAAATGAATATAGGATATTTGGCTCCTTCAAAGTTTACCATGGTAACCATGTCCATGGGATATATGCATTATCCCCTCTAAGATTTATAGCATCAGTGATGGCTTTGACAAGGAGAAAAATGCCTTCTGAGTTGGGTCCAGTAGGTATGAAGATACTTCCGACCCTACCCTCTTGTCCTGCAGTAACTCTAACATAGTTTCCATATCTATTGGAATCCCATTGAAATTTAGTTACGAAAGACCCCTCAAATCTTGATACAGCCCACCCAACCCTTGCTAGAGGAGGGTGGTTTAAAGTTTCAGCTAGCCAAATTGCAGAAGATTTAGAGATTGATATTTGGTGGATCTTACCATTTTTTCTCTCGGAGATAGTGATGGTGTCTGTAGCTGCGATAATGAATTCCTTGCTTTCAATTGCAATCGCGATCATCCCCTTTTCTTTAATCACCGGTCCTCTGATACCCTTACCGCAGTATTTGCCTTTGAATGAATTGTCTCTGTCCCTCCCCCAATAATCGCGATTGAAATCGCTCTTCCTCGTAGCGTGATTTGGCCTTTGAAACCTTCCGTCTCTCCATCGTTGACGATGTTGAGACCATCTCCATCCGCCATCCCAATTTCGTCGCCGGTGGGTGGCGTCTCCCTCTCTCTCTACAAACCCTAAGCCCATCATATATATATCATATATATATATATATATATATATATATATATATATATATATATATATATATATATATATATAGCAAGAAAGATAATAACCAAGAATGATAATAATTAACTGTCATTTTTAAAGTGTCCGAAATTATACTAGCAAGAAAGGTAATAATCATAAAAGATAATAATTGACCACAGTATTAATTATATAACCGTGTGACTACATAATTGTATATTAATCACCGTGTCAAATTAATTATAGTAATTTTAATTATAATAATTTTATAATAGTAATTTTATAATGGCTAAATTTTAATTATAGTGGCTATATTTTATAATGGCTATATTTTACTCTATTTTAATTATAGTAATTCCAATTTAAAAAGGTAATAATTAACCAATGTATTAATTATATAACCGTGTGACTAGATAATTGTATACTCCGTATTAATTACTGTGTCATTTTAATTATTGTAATTTTAATTATAGTAATTTTAAATATAATAAATTAAATATTTTAAATATAGTAATATTAATTTAAATTCGTTATAGCACTTTGAAAAATGAATAATTTTTTTAACCCCGTATACAAAAATCATATTATAAATACATCCATTTACAAAGTTTTTGTAGCCATTACATTCATCATGAGCAAAAACTTGAATTCAATTCTATCCTAAGCAAAAAAATTTTGAATTTAATAACATAAAAATAACCAGTGCGTTATGACCCGTGCATTCCACGAGTGTGATACTAGCAGAGGCGGACCCACCTTGAGTCCTCTGGGGTCCCGGGACCCCACGGACCCCGGTGTAGGTTCATAGAGGTATTAGGTATGTATTACTATTAATATATAAAAAACGCTTGTCAAATGGTGAATAGAAGAGCATTTGGTTCAGCGGAAGTGCGCCTTGACACTGCTCCCTTGGTGACGGATGCTTGACTCCCAGCGCCGTATCTTTTGGAGTCCATTTCTTAGTTAATTTTTTTCTTTATAAGCATCAAAACGACGTCGTTTTGCTTCCCCCCTTTTCTCTGTAAATTTCACCTCTCTTCCCCAATTCTTTATTTTACATTTTTGGTTGTGGAACCTAAAGCTTCTGCCCAATCTGCCGTGGTGACTTCTGCGAGACCGCCGACCAGCCGCCGCCCGCGACGGGCGACCTCCACGACCTGCATCATCTTATTCCCGTCTCCGGACTCCGTCACTCACTCACTCCCGTCAGTGACTCAGCGGTAAGGTAAAAACTTTTCTTTATTTTACTAAAAATTAATTTTTATGGTAGTTTGAATTTTGATTTTTGAAGTTTGATATATGAATATATGATTAGTATTGAGTAATATATAATAATTTATACATTTATTTTTTATTCATTACTTATTCATTAAAGAGTATTGTTGAGCTCTGACCATAGATTCAATGATTTAAAGAGTATTGTTGAGCTCTCAGTGAAAATGGTTTCCACTAAAAAGTCTCTTACGTACGGTTTCGTATATGCTCTCATAAAGTTGACATTGATACTTCCTGTGGCAACATCAAGTGTTGAATGGTCTTTTTCGGGAATGAAGTTTGTGAGGAATGAGTTGCGGAATAAAATTTGTGATCAATGATTGAATGACTGCTTAGTAACTTATTTGAGAGAGATGTTTTTTCCACCATTAGTGATGATGTAAATTTAGGGACGGGCACGAAAACCGTTCCCGTTGACCCGTTCCGAAACGTGCCGGAACCGTTTTGAAATTGTACCTTTTTTTTTGGATTCAAATTTTTTTGTCCCGAACCCGTTCTGTCCCGATTTTAAGTGGGACATTACCGGGATAACATACAAGTGTACCGTTCCATCCCGTTTGTCCCGTTTTATATACTCTTCTAAAAACATTATATATATATATATATGTGTGTGTGTGTGTGTGTGTGTGTGTATATATATATATATAAACACACATATATTACTCCGTACGTATCTCGTGAAACATTTTGAGTACTTGACAATTAATACTTGTTGACATTGTTGTAGCATTTATTTTCAATCTTTTTGTTTTCAATTTTTATTATTGTCCTAAAATTAGGAAAAAATAGGACAATCCGAATCCATTCCGTTTTGTCCCGGTCCCAAAAATTATGGGACAAAGTGGGATAGGCTTGTGGTTTGAACCGTTCCGAACCGTTTGAATATAACGGGACAGGACGCGGGATTGTAAGAAACCCGAACCGTCCCGACCCGTGCCCACCCCTAGATGTAATTATAGATCACTTCCAAAGTATGAAAATTAGACGAGTACAATTTTAAACTATATTATTTTCGTATGAATTTATTTATATGTATTAATTATGGATTTATGGTACTCTTAAAATATTAGTTTTAATTTATTGTTAAATATTAAGACTTGTTAAATATTAAGACTTATGAGAATGGAAGGTAGTTAGGTAGGGACCCATCCTGGATCCGCCTATGGATACTAGTTGTCAAAGAACATCCCTCTCCCAATAAAGAAAAAACGATCTGCAAATATTGCGAGAAACACCCAATCGATCAAAAATGGGTTCAACTCCTGCCGCAGGAACAGCAGCGACAGTGTCGAAGCTGGTAGCCAAACTGGATTTGAAGCCGCACCCAGAAGGTGGCTTCTACAGGGAAACATTCAGAGACCCTTCCCTCCTCTCCAAATCTCATCTTCCTCCTACTTGTATGTCTTTTCTCCCAAATCTCAGATTTTGTGTTTGATTTTTTTTTTTTTGGATTTATGGCGTCTGGGTTTTCATTATGATTATTTATCACCTAAATAAGGATTAACGTCTCTTGTGTAAACCAGATAGAGCACAATAATATGACCTTTTAAATTCAATGATGAAATTTAACATTTCGGTAGTAAATGTATGTATACATTGAATTAATTTCTTGCTCATGTGCTGAATTTGGACCAGAAAACCCAAAGAAAACCGTTATTTATACAACATTTAAGCCCGTAAGGACAATTGTTCTTGGCTATTGTTGTTGCCCTTAGGACAATGGATGAGACAGTTTAAGATTTAGATGTTTGTTTGAGTTGTTTATTGTGATGTAAAAAAACTTATTATGGTATTAAAAAATAAAAAAATATGAATTTTATTCGAAAGGAAAGGAGATGTGTATTTTTTTAGAAAGTTGAGAGGGAGTTTGGTAGAATTGGCAAAATGGTTGGTTACTTGGTTTCTTAACAGCTCTAAAATGGAGTTGTTCCATTTCGTTACAATTAATCAACCGCAAAAGACAGCAGGCCAAATGGGCCGTGAAAGCTGAAACAAACATCACCTTAGTATATACCCCCCTCTGTTCGTTAAAAAAAAAGAGTCACACTTTCTGTTTTCGACCGATTCAAAGTAAAGAGTCACGCGTCGCACAATATTTATCTCTAATCTAAATAAGTTTTAACCACTCGCTTTTTACTCTTCGGCATTTTTCTTGAATTGCATGAAGTCAAAGAGACAAATGGTGACTTTTGTTTTAGGGAAAAAGAGAGAAATAATATATAAATATCATGCATATTGAGCCTAATTTTGGATTGGTTTGCATATGATGATTGGAAGCAACTACATATATCTTGATCCAGTCCCTTTTCACAATTAACCTTGCATTGATGAACTATTTCTTTACAGACAAAGTCGATCGACCCGTCAGTACATCTATATACTTCTTGCTTCCTTCGGCATCTGTCTCTCACTTGCACCGCATCCCGTGCGCAGAAACGTGGCATTTCTATTTGGGAGAGCCAATTACGGTACACTTATATCTACCCTCCTCATACCCATGTCCAATGGCATTTATTACTTCTATTTGACCCATAAAGTTACGGGCACGTATTCGTCCAAGGGACCCATTCATTCATTCATGTTTAGCCCATATGGGATAACTCAATTTGGATACACTTGACACCGGTTTGCAGATTGTGGAACTCAACGAGAGTGATGGTTGTAGTGTGAAGCTAACACGCCTGGGGCCTGATCCACTTGCAGACAATGGGGAGGTGGTGCAGCACACTGTGCCTCCAAATGTGTGGTTCGGCGCGTTCCCAACGAACGACATTGGGATCTCCTCTGACATGAAATCTCTTGTGAAAACAGCTCCAAGAGATGGGGAGAGTCACTTCTCTCTGGTCGGGTGTACCTGTGCACCCGCCTTCCAGTTTGAGGACTTTGAGCTTGCAGGGAGGCGTCACCTTGTTTCCAAATTTCCTGATCACGAGCCGTTAATATCATTGCTCACCATTGCTTAACTTGCTGGTTTCTTGCCCTTATATATAGTCCTGGAATATCATTGTTACTCACGCTATACCAAATCCCCCATGTTCTATTTTATTGTATATCATTGTTACTCACGCTATACCAAATCCCCCATGTTACTCACGATTCTCTAATGTAAGAAACTTTAAAAATCATATTATTTAATATGAAATATAATGTTATACTCAATAAAAAAGTTTATACTCCCTCCGTCCGGAATTAAACTTCCCGGTTTGACTTTTTCTCATTTTTAGTGAGGGTTGACTACACCATTAAAATGTCCAAATTGCCCTCCTATTTTCTTTTGCCCCCACTATCTTTCCGCAGC